CCATTAACACAGTTTATACTCGTACGTTTGCTGGAGTATACACAGTTTAAGCTCTTAAGGGATTGGAGCGTGGCAGATACTTGAGTCACGAGACCAATCTATAAAATTGATGCGTCGATGACTCGTATCTATAGAATTTTTGGCAAATTCTCAGCCATCAACGGGTTTGATGAGCCTTTACCGACTACCGTTTGAGTCGGGCTAGCATGCGGATTGTTTTAGTCCGTTCTGCATGTGACGTTGCGCTAAAGGAATGAACTCCCTTAGACTTTGTGCTATGATGTTGAATACATGGCTTACCATTTGTTACGGAAATAGGTTACCCGGCGACGCGTGTTAGGCGTTGACTTTGGGGTTTTTGGCTAACCCCCAGCCTTTCAACGGATTTGATTAGCCTTTACCGACTACCGTTTGAGTCGGGCTAGCATGCGGATTGTCTAAATCCGTTCCGCATGTAACGTTGTGCTAAGAGAGTGAATTCTCTGAGACTTTGTGCTATGATGTTGAATACATAGGCTTCGCCATTGTTACGGGAATAGGCTACCCGGCAACGTGTATTAGACGTTGACTTATCCCTACTTAGGCTTCGGGATGAGATACCCCAGAATCGAACTCTGGTGTCTTTTTCAATCGGTAAAAGACTAAACCGGCGACGCGTGTTAGGCGTCGGCATATCCTTTCTTAGGATTCAGGATGAAATTCCCCATGCGTGTAAGGCATGGATTTTGGTGTTATTAATAACAACCTGCCACAATGTTGAATATGTGGACGGATGTTCTTTTCAACGGTTAAGAACTAACCGGCAGCGCGGGTTAGGCACAGACTTATCCTTGCTTAGGTTTCAGGATAGAATACCCCAGAATCGAACTCTGGTGTCTTTTTGTACGGAAAAAGACTAAACCGGCAACGCGTGTTAGGCGTTGACTTATCCCTACTTAGGATTCGGGATAAAATTCCCTGTACCTGTGAGGCACAGATTTTGGGATTTGAAAAAGGTGGTGTCTTCTCTTGGGGCAAAGACGAACCCGAAATGGGAGAGGAAGAATTTTATATCCTATCTCCCGACACTGAAGAAGAAAAATTTTATATTCTATCTTCAAACGGAAAGGAGACTCGAGGTGGGATCTCCACCCCCAGAATCCG